GCCCGAGAGAACGACGCCCCAAGCCCCGCCCCCGCCTCTCCCCTCCCACACTCTGGATCTCCGCTTCCCTCCGCGGTTCCCGCTTCTGCCTTGGAGGCGGCGGCGGCGCCGGATCCCGCTCGGGGCAGGTGGGGCTGCTCTCCCTCCGGCCTCCCTCCTCCTCCTCCTCCCAGGAGATCTTCCCCCGCCTGCCCGGAGGAAGGGAGCTGCAAGGGATCCTGCTCTTGGCCTGGCCGGGGTTTCCTCGGGCAGATCCGGCTCCGCTCCGGATCCTCACGGAGCGGATCCCTCCCTTCCCTCCAGGGGGGGCGCCAAGGGCTGGATCTGCCCCCCCCCCCCCGCCCCGGGCCGGGGCCCCGCGGGGGGGGGGGCTCCAGGAAGGAGCTTCGGGTCAGTGGCTTCCGAAGGTCTCTCTGGGGTCCGTCAGAGGATCCAGATCCCGCACCTGCAGTTGGGGAAAAAAATGGAGGGAACGGAGCTTTAAAACGTTTGGGGTGGTTTGTAATATGCCCTGAACGCAGACTGGCCTCATTGCAATGAGAGTTTGGGGGAAAGGAAAGCTTTGAATTGAATTGAATGGAGTTCATGTTGTCTTAAACCCACAAGAGATCCTTTTTCTTTGAGCTCAGTTTAAAAGGAGAACAATGAAATCCTTTGTTCTGATCTTTACTCTGCTTATGATTGTAAAAGCTCTGTAGAATCCGTAAAAACCAACATTTTCCTTGTTTTGCCCAGAAGGGGCTGGGATGTGGCCCTTCATGGTGGATGTTTTCCAAAGCGAAGGTTTTAAGGAAGTTTTGAGGCAACCGGATGGTTTCCTCTGCTTCCTTTTCCGTGAGTGGCTGCCATGGACCAGGGGGAGGCAGAATGCTTGGTGGGGGGTAGATGAAAGTAAGGGTGGTATCTCCTCCAGATGCTGCTTCAAGGTCAGCCGGCATCCCACTTCATTCCAAACTCTGCTTCGACATCTTGCCTTGTGGAGTGAGGGAATGGGAGGAGATCGGCCCTTTTCACATATGCTGTGCCCCATCTGGTCTCTCTCCTCTTCCTTTGAGGTTTCCTACTCACCACTGTGCATCGGTCCCTGTTGGACTTCATCCTGCTAGTTCCTTCCATTTTGGCTGATCAGAATCTTGGTTAAATCTTGGTTTGGAAGATATGCATTTGTATATTTATGGATCCAGTCTGGGTCAGTCACGGGGGCCAGAAGTTTTGTCTTCCGATCTTTCCGACTTGTGACAGAGTCCCATCTTCAGGGAACTTCTCTCTAGTAGAGGGTGTGCTGTTCTTCGCGTGGTCCAAACACACAACCACACCACACTCACAACAGCACACACTCTGAATCTCTCTGAAGATGGGCTCCAGCACGAGTCCTAAAGCTCGGAAGACAAAACCTCTGATCCCGGTGACCGACTCAGATTGGATCCTGCAACTTCATTGTGGGACACGTATATTCTTCGTTTCTTGTCTTTGACAAAACGGCAATGCAGTGAAACTTTTTGCCTTGATTTCTGTGTTTCCTATAGGCTGTCCTCTACTTATGACTACAACTGGGCTGCAAACTCCTTTCCTGAGGAAAGTGGTCATCACATGACCGCTTTGCTGAAGAACTCCAATTCTGCCCTCACTGTTGCGGTTGTTATTAGCAATAGCGATAGCGCTTCGACTTAGATACATGGGGCTTTAAAGCACTCTCTGAGCAGATTAGAAATATCAGCATCTTGCCTTCAACCATTTTGTGATGTTCTGTGTTTCTCGAAAGGAAATAATGTCCTCTTCTTTTTTGTTCCATCAGCAGGAAAACAACTATGACCGAAGATTTACCTTCAAGACGACTAACAAGAGATAGTAGAAGTTCAGCCCAGGGCAGCAACCAAGGGAAAGCATGAAGCGTGGGAAACGCTTGGATCCCCCGTCCGACACAAGCAGCACTCCAAGAACGCTCAAAAGAACCCATGAATGCTCAGAGTGTGGGAAATCCTTTGCTCGCAGGTCCCTCCTTTTGACCCACAGGAAGGTCCATGTGGGAAGTGGATCCAGTGAAGGTTTGGAGGGTGAGAAATCTTTCTCTGGGAAAAACTCCAAAGATCCCAGAAGCTCCCCAACACTAAAACCCTATAAATGTGAGGAATGTGACTCATGCTTTAGTAAAAAGTCACACCTTCGTACACATCAGAAAATCCACACTGGAGAGAAACCTTATGAATGTCTGGAATGTGGGACATTTTTCCGTCAAAAAACCACTCTCAGAAACCACGAGAGGATTCACACAGGGGAGAAACCTTACAAGTGTTGGGAATGTGGGAAGAGTTTTGCCCAGAACGCAAATCTTTGGTCCCATGGGAAGACTCATGTGGGAATAAAATCTTACAAATGCTTTGAATGTGGAAAATGTTTCACCCAGAGTTCAACTCTTCGGAGTCATGAGAAGACACATGCAGGATTAAAACCTTACAGATGCTTTGAGTGTGGAAAATGTTTCACCCAGAGTTCAGGTTTTCGGAGTCATCAGAAAACGCACACAGGGGAAAAAAATAAAAAGTGCTTCGAATGTGGGAAATGTTTTACCTTGAGATCAACCCTGGTGGTACATCAGAGACGTCACACTGGAGAGAGACCCTATGAGTGCCCAGAATGTGAGAAACGATTTGTGAATTCTTCTGAACTTCGGAATCACCAGAATTGGCACAAAGGGGAGCTGCCCCATAGATGTGGGCATTGTGGGAAAAGTTTTATTACGCCAGCCCATGTTCAGATTCATCAGAGAATCCACACAGGGGAGAAGCCCTACAAATGTGGGGAGTGTGGGAAATGCTTTTCCCAAAAACAACATCTTGGAAGCCATCAAAGGTCCCACACAGGAGAGAAGCCACACAAATGCATGGAATGTGGAAAATGTTTTGTAAGCAGGAGAAACCTTCGGAGCCATCATAAAACCCACACAGGGGAGAAGCCACATCAATGCATCGACTGTGGAAGATTTTATAGTAGCTCATCAGCCCTTAGAAGTCATGTGAAAATTCACACAGGGGAAAAAAACTACAAATGTTTGGACTGTGGGAGAACATTTGCTCATTCAGGTTCCTTTAGAAGTCACAGCCGAATCCATACAGGAGAGAAACCTCACAAATGCTCAAAGTGTGACAAATGTTTTATTCGGAAAGATTATCTTGTGAGTCATCAGCGAATGCACACTGGAGAGAAACCATATAAATGTCTGGAGTGTGGGAAATGTTATGTCCATCCTTCAACCCTTCGTATGCACACGCGAAATCACGCAGGAGAACAGCCTTAGAAGTGGCACAGAGTGTGAGAAACCTTTTCATAGTAAATCAAAGCTAGAAAAGCACCAGAAAGTACTTAGCAGAGATAAATCTCTTCACTTGTGAACAATGTTGGGAAACCTTTTTTTTTTTTTCAACATTTACATCTTAACATTTGACAGGAATCTTCGCACAGTGACAGGAGGAAATCCTGCAGTTGTTTGGTTTGAGTAAAATGTTTTTCCTACTGAAGGAACCTGAAATAACATCAGGGAGTACACAACGAGGCAAAAGGGTGTAAAATCTTGGGAGTGAGAATATTTTGCTAGTAACTTACCAGAGTGATTCCAGAAAAGAGTTATAAGTATTTGGGGAGTAGATAAAATGTTTTGCAGAGCAGAGGAAGTCCTTGACTTATGACCACAACTTGGAATGGATTTCTGGTCATAGGTTCCTTCAGTCGTAAGTCAAGGAACCAGGTATTTCTCTTAATTTTTACTAGATTTTGTTGATCCATGAGGAGAACTGAAAAATTAGGAGAAAATTTTAGAGAGAAGAAAATGGGGTGAAGGGTGTGAGAAATCTTTTTTTTTTAAAACAAGTTTTATTATTTTCAAAAACAAACAAATCATCACCAACCATTACGTATTTGAACCTTTTTCCATTGTAAATTTTACAAGTCAGATAAAACCTTATCTTATACAATACAATTCTATTTTAAACCATTTCTAAATGAGCATAGAAACATCTCTTGTCCTCTATTTCTTTCTGACTTGATTATCGTCATTCTCTTTCTGTGTTTCTAAAAGGTTTCACCAATACTTCTCAAAAACATAAACAGACACAAACAAACATATAAAAAATCTTTTAGTAAAGTAACTTGGCCCCCGGTACCTCTCTTTATATGGGCTTTAATTATATTCATGCTCATCTTAGAGATCATTACCTATTTTGTTTACCATTCTGTATCTTCTATATATACTTCTCCACACATTTCACTCTTCATAATTCTATCTTATTCAATCCATCTTAATTTAAATCATTATATTTGTATCTTTTGCCCATCCTTTATTATCCCTCTATCTCATTCCTTATAATGAAAAAAAAAAGAATTTCTCCTGAAATCTCTAGTCAGAGTATGATGCCTTTCTATCCTCTCCCTAAATATTAGATTAACATTTAAAATGACACCTAATATCCAATCTGATTCTGCTTGGTACATTCTATCTATTAATTTTTACTTTTAATAACAATAAAAACAGAGTAATAAATCGGAAATGTTTAAATACATAGTATCCTCCTAAATACGTAGTTAAATAATAAATCTAAATAATAAATCTTATAGCATTCTCATTGCCTTTCCCTTCAATATTTTATTACATTTTAAAAATCAATCATTATTAAACATTTCAACATTTTAATTTCTTATTAACTCTTAAGCCATTCTAATTTTCTATTTCTAATACAAATATTACAATACCGTCTTATGTACCTTGCAAAATCTTTTTTAAGAAAATTTATTCTTTACCCTTTATCCCTGAAAAAGATTCCTCTTTTCCCATCCAATTTTAAAACTTTGTGGCTTTTCTCCGCCTTTCCCCTTTCTTTCTTCCCCCACCAGATCTTCCTACCCCCCCTTCTTCTAACCTCTGTCTTGCTGGCATCCCTTCTCTGTTGTATTCCCTTTTTTTCTTGTTTGCTGTCATTATATTTATTTTGCATCATATTTTTCTCTTTCTTAAATGTTTTTTTAAATCTTAAGTCCTTCATTTTCCTCGCTTTCTTCCTTCCTTCTTCCTTAGATAAATTTTGGGATTCATTAAAGATGGTGTCTTCGTCTTCTTCTTGCTGTTGTTCCATCTGTCGCATTGTCTGTTCATAGTTAACCAGCGCCATTTCTAAAAATAGAAAAGCTTTTTCCATACCATCTTTACAGGCTGCTTTTGTTTGCTCATATTCATCCCTCAGTTCCTCAAGGGAGAAAGCCATTATAAATCTTTTCTTGTCTTTTTTCCCTCTTCTTACTCCAACCAAAATATTCCAAAAGAAAAGTAAAACAATCCCAAAGTCCACAATCCTCAATCAATCCAAGCCAAGCCAAAATTTCCACTTTCTCTTCCAGGGGTAGTATCAGACAAAGGAAAAAAGAAAATCCAAATCTGTGTTTTAAAGCCTTATTAAAATTTTATTTCTGTCTCCAAATCCTTAAGGCATCTCCTCCAACAAAATCCAACCAGATAAATATATTTTTTGTCCTCTCCCTTCCGACTTATCCCATAAAGCTAGTTTTATCTGAAAAAAAAAACAGGTTTCTCAATATCTTTGTTAATTCCGTCGGGAGGGAGAGTAAACTTTCCTTTCAGCACCTCAGAATTGCCGCTTACTTTCTCTTGTGGAAAGAATCATCCAAAAAGCCATCACTTCCAGGAATTAAATTAAATATATCTCAGAGTCCTGGATCGACCAAGAAGACTTTCACTTTTAAAAACTTTCTCCTCTTCCTCCTGCGCATACTTGCCCAGCTGCCGGCTTCTTTGTGGCGGCCATTGCGGACCGCCGCTACACCGTCTTGGTAAAAGGAGGTTCTGCCGGCCAGGGAGGGGGTCTGCAACACCCCCAAACCCTTTTCCGGATCCCCCCTACCTTCAGCTGCCCCTGCAGGGCAGCCTTGCTCCGCACTCTTTCGGATTGGAGCCCAAAAGCGGCTAGCGCGGCAGGGATCGCGCAGCTTCGCGAATCCCTACCGCTCGCAAAGCCGACAAACCGGAAATCCAAGGGTGTGAGAAACCTTTTCATTGCAAATCAAAGTTAAAAACGCATCAGAAAGTCCATAACAGATAAGCTCCTTCAGTTGCGAACAACATTCAAAACTTTTTTTTTTTTTAAGGCCACATCTTATAATTCACCCAGAACTTCGCAAAGTGACAGAAGGGAAATCCTACAAATGTTTGGCCTGGGGAAAATGTTTTTTGCTAGGGAAACAACCTCAAATTCTCGTAGAGAGTACACAATGAGGGGAAAGAATGTAAATGTTGGAAGTGTGAGCATGTTTTGGTCACCAAGCAATATTGGTGACTTAGCAGAGTCCTTACACAAAAGGGTTATAAGTATGTAGGGGAGTATATATAATGTTTTGTAGTGTACAGGTCATTCTTGACTTTATGACCACAACTGGGAATGCATTTCCGGTGATGTTGTTTCATTCGTAAGTCAAGGCACCCAGGTATTTTTGTAAATTCTTATTAGGCTTTGTTGATCAATAAGGAGAACTCTAAAGATTTAGAAGTGAGAAAATGGGGTGAGAGTGGAATGAAGATGCATCTGATGGTTTATTTAGGGATAAAATGTTGAATGTGCTGCCTGAAGATGAAGAGGGAAAGTTTATTTTTCTTCTTATCCTTTTTGGAGGGATTTTTTTTTCTTTTTCTTACATTGTCTCATATGTATGCACACACATAGATACATATACTATATTTACAGAGATATTGCATAGACTTGTATTAATGTTTTCTTTCCTTGATCTGTGAATATAACCCTTAATAAAATGATTGTTTGAAATAACTCAAGAGGCCTTTTTTTTTTTCAGAGCATGAACTGGGAGTCCAAAAAGTCAAGATGGCCGGAAAAGTATCCTTCAATTGTCCACAAAAAGCTGCCTTTTATATTATTTTTGTCTCCATCCTCCCTCGCTGGACACTTCTGTCTTTGGGATTGAATTCAAAGGTGCAGATTTTGGATGATGTTTAGGAAAAATGTCCTGGGGGGTTTGGATGGACCTCCCTGCCCTTAAGGGCAGATCATTGGTAGCTATTTATATGTACCGGACACACTCATGATTAAATGAACCGCATCTCACTTAGGACGTGCATCATAGGTCACAAGAAGTGTGACATCATCAGTTTAGTATGAGTTGCAAATTAATACCAGGTTGCGTTTCATGCGAGCCAAAATTCAGCTAATTTGTGTGTAGTTTAAGGTGGCTATTATACTACACCGGTGGCTATTTGAGACCAAAGAGGCATTCTTTAAATAAAAACTCCCCAGAGTTAAAATAAAATATTTACCATCCAGTGAAGAGAGAATACCAAGAAAGTATTTTAGCAGCTAGCAACGAAGGCAGCTACAGATGGCTTTGAAGCGCACCTTAAGAGTTTTGTTCCAACTGTGTAAGAGATGAAACAGGCAAGATGTCCGCCAGAGAAGCTGGCTTTCTTAAGAGACGGTCAAAGCCCTTTCCCACCATCCTCCCTGAGGGTTAGATACGGAGGTCGGGGATGAAGGCTGTGGAAAGCCAAGGCTTAATCTCTTCTTTGACCAACAGCCACAGTCCCATCCCAGAACGGATGAGGTTTCCTCTCAACTGATGGTGGGTTCCATGTCCTGACACAACAGGAGCTTTTTGGCCAGAACTGGTATGGGGGACCTTGGTGTCCTCTCAGCTTGGTTGTTTCCTTGCAGGCGTTTCATCACCCAACTAGAGAACAGCATCCATGCTAGGTGACATCATTAACATCGATGCTTTTACCTAGCTGGGGAGTGAAACATGAGACTTTGAACTAGCCAATGTTTAGGGTGAATTGTAAATGGATACCAGGCTTCACTTCATGTCACCCAAAATTCAGTTCATGCCAGGTTTTTATATGTGCAATTAAGGCTACTGTGTAAGGCTACGGTTGTGGTTTTAACCATACATTTAATTTTTAAAGTATATGTTCTTCGTTACTGTGATAGTTCATCATTGTTCATATGCCATGTTACATTAAATATTTTTCTTGCCTATTCGTATCATTCGGGAACCCATTCCTCTTATTTTCTATCTCTTCAAATCATCTAAATTGAATTCAATGTTTTTGTGGGATTTCACACTAATAGAAACCTACCTTAATTCCTCATTTGCCCTTAACCATGGTTAATTCTCTCCTCCTCTTTCCTCCATGAAATGGCATCTCCTCCCCAGCCCAAAGAAGCACAATGTTCTCCTAGCAGTTTTACTTGGGAAATGGTCTTTTGCCTCTTGAGCCCATGGAAATGTCCTTTGTGACATAGTTGGTGGTGGGCTCAGAAGCTGGGATCTGTCCGGCTCCTATTGGCTACTTCAGGGGGGCTTCTGGCATCTCCCCGCCCCCTTTGAGCCCCTTGATCTGGACACCTGGTTCCCCAGAGGCTCCTGGTACCCAGATACCCGTCAAGTCAGATGGAGGCTCTTCCTCTCCGTGGATTTAAGGCTCCTTGGGAAGAAGGTCCAGTCCTGGGATACACGGAAGGTCAACTGGAAATAGGGAAAAGGGGCCGTTCTGCCATTTCATGCTGCCAAT